AGCTGGTCAACCATAGAGTTTACGATATTCTTCAAATCAAGGATTTCACCACCACTCTCTACTTCGATCTTCTTGGACAAGTCGCCGAGAGCTACGGCTTTGGTTACTTCTGCAATGGATCTGACTTGGTTCGTGAGATTGGTGGCCATATGGTTTACATTGTCAGTTAAATCCATCCAAGTACCACCTACATTTGGTACAAGCGCTTGACCGCCAAGCTTACCCTCTGTACCAACTTCACGAGCGACACGAGTGACTTCGGATGCAAATACTCTCAATTGATCCACCATGTCATTGACCGTATTTTTCAAATCCAAGATTTCGCCTTGAGTCTCAACATCAATCTTTTTTGAAAGGTCGCCTCTTGCTACCGCTTTTGTAACCTCTGCAATAGAACGTACTTGAGTCGTCAAATTAGCAGCCATGGTATTGACATTATCTGTCAAATCCTTCCAAGTGCCACTGACAGTTGGCACGATAGCTTCACCACCTAATTTACCCTCTGTGCCTACTTCTCTAGCGACACGGGTGACTTCGGACGCAAACACACGTAATTGATCCACCATGTTATTGACCGTATCCTTCAAATCCGAGATTTCTCCTGATACGTCCACTTCGATCTTTTTCGACAGATCACCATTAGCAACTGCTTTGGTCACAACAGCAATTGACCGCACTTGCGTAGTAAGATTGGTGGCCATTGTGTTGACATTATCTGTCAAATCTTTCCATGTGCCGTCCACATTGGGCACCCTTGCCTGCCCGCCAAGTTTGCCTTCAGTGCCAACTTCTCTAGCAACACGGGTGACTTCGGATGCAAATACTCGTAACTGGTCTACCATCATGTTGACCGTATTCTTCAAATCCAAAATTTCGCCACGGGTCTCTACTTCAATCTTTTTGGACAAGTCACCCATGGCAACAGCCTTCGTGACCTCCGCAATAGAACGTACTTGTGTTGTCAAATTGGCAGCCATCGTATTGACGTTATCTGTCAAGTCTTTCCAGGTACCACCGACGTCCTTGACGACGGCCTGTCCACCTAATTTTCCTTCAACACCTACTTCGAGTGATACACGTCTGACTTCTGCAGAAAACAGATTCAACTGGTCGACCTAGTATAAATATGGTTAATGCCATTTCTAAAAAAAGCAAACTAGGCTAAATGTGTACCATCTTATTCATTGTATTTTTCAATTCCAGCACTTCACCCTGGGCGTTTGCCTTGACCTTTTTCGATAAATCACCCTGTGCAACTGCTTTGGCGACAACCGCGATATCTCTGACTTGATCTGTAATCTTGGAAGCCATCATGTTGACATTATCTGTCAAATCCTTCCAGGTACCTGCAACATCCTTGACAATTGCCTGTCCGCCTAGTTTACCTTCAGTTCCGACTTCGAGGGAAACACGTGTCACCTCCGTAGCAAATATTGATAACTTTATTTGGGCGCAAATTAAGTTTCCTGTTAGTATCATTTTATCGTGTGAAGTCGTGAGCAGTACATACTTGATCAACCATCGTATTGATTGTATTTTTCAAGTCCAACATTTCACCCTTGACTTCAACAGTAACCTTTTTAGTCAAATCGCCTCGAGCTACTGATTTTGAAACCTGAGCAATATCTCTGACCTGATTTGTCAGGTTAGCTGCCATTGTGTTTACATTATCCGTTAATTCTTTCCAAATGCCATCTGCTCCTTGCACCTTTGCTTGAGCGCCTAATTTTCCTTCAGTACCGACTTCATGAGCAACTCTGGAAACCTCGGATGCGAACATGTTTAATTGATTGACTATATATAAGAATAAGGTAACATGATTACATGATGATCTCACCATTAAATAAAAGTCTTACCCATTGTGTTGAATGTGTTTTTCAGTAGTAGTGTTTCACCCTTGACGGGAACTGTCATTGCTTTACTAAGGTCACCCTTTGCAATAGCTGTTGACACATCTGCAATATCTCTCACTTGTTCCAAATGGTTCCTAGTCATCTTGTTCAAATTGACCACAAAATCAAGCCAAAGTCCTTTCATTTCCTTTCCACAGCGAGCCTGTACACCGAGTTTGCCCTTGACGGCAGTTTCATGTGCGACATAATTCACTTCATCAGCCACGGTTTGTAAGCGATCCACCATGGCATTAAATGCATGCTTGAGGGTATTGATAGGGGCATTAGATTCAAAATCAACCGAGGTATTGCAGCGTTCATGTTTACAAGTAATGCGTCGACCAAAGTCGCCATTGAATACGCGAGAAGCGACTTCGACGGCTTGGATAACACAATCGGGACAAACGATGTTATCTGAACTTGTTTCGACTGTAGCGGCGGGGAAAGCCAAGACAGGAGGAGACATGGTGGATCCAAAATAGACAGGGTAAAAGTTGGCAGCTGAAGAAATGTTGAAGGGAGGGGTGGATACGGAACTGTTGCTGTTGCTGTTGTTTGAAGTGACTAAGCCAGCGGAATCAACAATGTTTGAAGCTAGAAGATTAGAATACATGAATGATGAACAAGAGTGTTATGATGATGATTACCGAAATAGCCTTCTGGTATATTAGATGAGCTCGCTGTTGTTGTAGTAACTGAAGTTGTCGAAGTTGTAGGTTCATGGTGATAAGAAGATTCCAATTTGTCGAGTAATGATGAATCATGAATTGAGGTCAGTTCGTCTTCAGGAGTCGTACCTTCCTCTTTAGCTTGACTCGTGATGATAGACTTTTCCTCGTGATCATGGGAAGTAAATAATTGATGTTGTTGCTGAATCATGATACGACACCTTAAATTTTCAGTCTCTAAATGTAATTGACGCTGAGCTATTTTTTTTAAATTTAAATCAAGTTGTTTAAGTAACTCAGCATCCTTCTCGTTTAATTCCTTGTAAATTGAATTGGATTCTATTGAATTGGACAAACACTGGTCTATATTTCCTTGTTCTACATTTTGTACTAAGCTGTGGACGTATGATAGTAAGCTCATCTTGTCTTCTTGTTTCGATTCTTTAGGTTTTTTGTTATGATTATTTTCTTCCTCTTCTTCTTCAGCAAAAGAACGTTTCATTACCGCTCTTTATATTTAAAATGAAAAAGATTAGTATTTTAAAAAATATAAAATCAAGGAAAGGAGAGAGAAAATAATAATAATAAAATGGTATTAAAATATATACAAATTATATATAAATGAGAAGAAAAAAAAAGAGAGAGAAAGAAAGAAAAAGAAGGGGTAAAAATATCAGGTTTTCTTTTTTCTTTTTTTTTTATTTCTTGCAGAAAACGTCACTTTTTTGTGTATTACTGAACTTGAATGATTTTTTACGCATTAAAGAAAAAATTTTGTTTGTGTTGCCTTGATCTAAGGGTTCATGTGTCCTTTTCCTTTGCATTTATTTCTAAGCAAACAAATAATTCATTCTATTAGCTTATCTTGATAGAAAAAATAAAGAAAGAAAGAGAGAAACGAAGGGTCATTTCTTTCTACTTTTTCCTTGGTGTTACCTTTGCTATAACCCTGACGTTAAATAGACACATAGAAAGAGAGACATATACAGTTGTCCTTTTGTTTGCTTTGTTAAGAAATAATAAATGCGCAGATAATATGAACTAAAACATAATAATAATCTTTTTTTTTTTAGATCAATAAAAATAATAATCAATGAATGAGTCGTACGAGCTGAAACACCCGAGTAGAAACAGAGCTCGGTCCGTTGCATTCATGAGTCCCCCTCATTTTCCCTTTTTACAAAAATATTGAATCATGATTTTACTTCCTCTAATGAACATAACGCATCCTCTGCTTGTGATCATAGATGAATTTGCTGTTCTTTTTGGCTAATAGGAAACTATCTGAAAACAAGTCTTTAGGAAAAAAGCCATTGATTGTACGACAAACAGTTTTATGCATCAAAAACAAACTAGGGGTAATGCTATAAGCATCGTGGATAAAGGACAAGTGCATTTTAGCTCCATTTTGAAAAAAAGGGGGTGAGTGTCGGTAAAGTCAGCAAGAATAAAGTAATAGGGTCTTTTGAAAAAGTACAATTGCAGTTATACGGAATACTAGCTTTTATTTTATCTCGCAGAATTGCTCAGGTGAACACATCTAATTACCCTTAAACATCATTAAATTATGCAGCGTAGTGCATTGCATTAGCGTGATATGAGAGTAATATTAAGATGACAAAGTAGTGGTAGTCATGTCTTTTTCCCTTTTGGAAATCATGCAAATGTAGTCAATCATGAATAGGCTCCCTGTTGATCATTTACGAATAAATCTTAATGGCCACATGGTGTTTCCAAATCAACTGACTCATTTTGGAAAGCTTGATATGATAAATATCAAACATGCAGCACTTTTAAATACTACAAGCTATCTCTTTTTGACTTGTGCCCTATGATAGCCGCCTACTTGTAAGAAGAATGTTTACTTGTTGATACATATTGTTCCAAAACACGTGCTATGTCCTTATTCTTCGGAAGATCTTTGACCATTCTTTCCCGTAACAATCGAATGTATTCTAAAAACTTGACAGTCTTATACCTGTGGTAATACATTGCAGACATAAACATTCCAAAATGGCTTGTGCTTTTTTTTTTTGAGTGTCTTGGCATAGCCCTTGTACTTCTTGATAGGTTGTATTATATGATATGCCTGGGAAGTATACATTGAATTACCCTCTTGTTTAACAGAAATTACCTAGTTGGATGTTTGTTCCTAAGCCTTGATTATTGACAGGTTTCTGGTTAAAAATTCTTTGGCAGTGAGAGGTTTTGCCATCGTTATATGGGCGTTTACGTGAGCAATTGTCTCTTAGTATTCTTCATCGTGACCTTCTTAGTTACTGTTTTAGTCGTCAATCTAGCTAAATTCAAAGTTCTTTCTATGTAGTTTGATAATCCTGTATTTGCCAACATGAAGAGTATCTACTATATACGTCATTGTTGGATAAAAACGATATAGAAACATCATAGTTAAACTGATTGTAAATCTTGTCCTTCAAAGTCATTTTTGTCAAGAACATCTATCGGCCGAAGACTCCATGGCTCCAAAGTCTGTATCATGTGTAATCATTTACAGTACAGCGAATATGTGACGCAAACTGGTGGTTTTTTTTTTTTTTTCTTTAGTATACTTTTATGGCTTGTAGTCAAATCAATGATCTTGTAACTTCATTACTTCTTCTATGCTATTGGATACAAAGAGTTGATTGATAAAATGATTATTTATGAGCTGTAAATATAAACTTGCAAGCTTTTGTTCATCAAAAAGCTTCCAGAATGAAAGGTGATCACAATCCACGTAATAGCTTTTGAGTAACAGTAGAATACGGAAACGGTGAACAAGTATTGAAGTAATCAAAAAGAGACTTAAATTAAGCCCAAGTAGAGATGTGTAAATGAAAAAGAGAGAGAAAAAAGAACAAGAATTGATTTTGGGAGATGCATTTATAGTCGTCAACTTAAAACTCCATTTATCCATGGCATCATTCATTCGAGACAACTTGATTTGGAAAGACGGTACGATAATTTAATCACCGAGCACCTCAAATCCTATAGTCTTGAGCTCGGGCCTTATTCCGATATTTAATTTACTGCTATTTTACGTTTATTTATTTTTTTTCCTTGTTTCTTTTTTCCTTTATAAACTTGATTATGACTACAGCTGCTGCTGCTACTACTTCCTCTGTTAGTCCTCATGGTATTACTACCCATGTTGCTACTGCTATGACAGCTAATACAAGTACTTTCAAAATTCAGCAACATGATAGGATAAATAACGATGGTATGTATATATTTATTTAGTTTATATTAATAAGAAGGAACTGATCCATTACGAATTTAGTCATTCAAATAAAACCAAAAAGAAAGCGCATTTCACCACAGCAATTCCATCTGCTGTCAGAATCATTCAAACAAACAGATACCCCAAATTATGATTTACGGGAAAAATTAGCAAAACAGTTAGACATGACAAATCGTGAAGTTCAGGCAAGTTTTTTTTTTAAAGTGTTCATATGATTTAGTGGTGTAACCTTCTCTTTAGGTATGGTTTCAAAACCGTCGTGCTAAGGTCAATCGACTTAGGTTACAGCAACAACAACAACAACAACAACAACAACAAAAAGAACAAGAACAAGAACATAATGATCAAGAACAAGAAGAACCGATAAGCAATAAGAGACCAAGATTTTATTACTGGAATAATAACAAATCATCAACTTCTTCTTCTGTATCTTCTTCTCCCCCTCTAACTCCTCATGATATTGTTATCAATCCAAACTTGACTCCAATTGATATACTCGCTACAGCCGCTGCTTATGTTCAGCAGTGGGATGAAGAAAATGAAAGACAACGAAAAGAGCAAGAAAAGAAACGATGGAGACCGTGGCTTTAAAAAAAATTCCCTTTTTCTCATTTTGTACAGTTCCCAAAAATTAATGTTGCAGGTATAGGAAAAATTAAAAATCAGTGTCCACTGTGGGTGTAAAGATATGCAAGCTCATGATGATTCGATGCAAGATTCATGTATATTTTTTATCAGTTGCATCAAATCCATGAAGAAATATAATTACATGAAACAAATAGATGTTTAATAAATACTACATGAAATCTAAAAATATTATTATCACCTTGCTTGCCAAAGCATTCATAAAGATATACTTGCTGGTAATTCATACTTTGGAATGAGTTAAAGTACAAGACGGATCGTATTTAAAATAGACAATGATGACTCATTAAAGAACGATATGAAGCAAGAATATTCTTCCTAATATCTTACAATGTCAATCAAGAATATACTATTACAAATTTCAGAACAAGGAGGTGATAAAGATATTTGGTATCTTGTTCCTGTGTGTTGCTTTTAACAAAAAAAAAAAAAAAAGATTATAAAGCACAATATGAGCTTTAAATCATAATTTATAAGAGATGCTGAATGATATTTATTTATAAATTTATTGTCTAGTTTTCCAATACAAATCTAAATCTAGGCAATCCAGCTCTAAAGTCTTCAATGGCCTTGTTAACTTCTGACATTGGGTATTTCTTGTACCACGTCTTGAGGTTCTTTTCGGATACTAATTGTAGCATATCATCCAAATCTTTAACACTTCCAACTGCAGAGCCAACAACAACAATTTGCTTCATGAGTTGAGGGAAGATGGGGATAGGTGGATATTGGAATTCAGGAGCGCTGACATTAATGAAGATGCCATCAGGAAGCAAGAGATTAAAGTAAGGTTCCCACTTGAAATCTTCTCCTACACCAGTGCAAATGATATGTGTCAACTTGTTTGCATACTTTGCCATTTCTTCTTCATTGCTTGTGACAACATAATCATCGCATCCAAGCTTCATGGCATCATCGCGCTTTCTATTGCTGGATGATAAAGCAATCACAGTAGCACCTAATGCTTTACCAAACATGACTGCAAAGTGACCAAGACCACCAATACCTAAAACACCCAAGGTAGAGCCAGGGCCGACCTTCCATCGTCTGAGGGGAGCATATGTTGTTACACCTCCACACAGGAAGCTAGCAGCATTTTCGTTGGAAACATTATCAGGGATCTTGCAAATAAACGTTTCATCGCCACGCCACTTGTCAGCATAACCACCCAATGTTTTTTCACCAGTTGGCCAGCGAGAGTTATAAGTAAGAATTGATCCTTTCAAACAGGTATTTTCGGCACCCTTATTGCAACAATGACATTGTCCGCATGCACCGCACATAGCGCCCATACCAGCACGATCGCCGACCTTGACTCTTGTCACATTCTTTCCTACTCTTGTGACAACACCAGCAATTTCATGGCCAACAATAGTTGGATAATCAGTGGGGAACCAACCAGAGTCTGTAAATAGAAAGGTCAGTCATTGATCTTTAAAGCATACTATTTATATACATACCAATAGTGTGAACATCACTACCACAGATACCACAGTGAGTGATATCCATCTCAACAGAATTATCATCCCAAGCCTTCATTGGGAATTGCATCTGCTCAAGTGGTTTGCCCTTGCCAACAGTAGCCCAACCAGTAAGTGTATCGTTATTAGACATATTTTAGAAAGAAGAAAAAGTTTACAATTAGTAAAAGCATCAACCATCTTCGTCCTATTTATTAAGAAGATCCTGTCAGTGGTTTACGTACGCGTCTTTCCTTCAAAGTAAACTGCTCACGTATGCATTTTTTTTACAATCCATATTAGGTAATGAAGGACGTAAGCGGACGATTCGCAATCCCGCTCCTTGAAAATCGATTGGCTCTGTGTAATATTGCTTCGATCGTCTCTCTCTCATTACTAATACTGAAAGCTTGACATATTATTCATCCATAAGTTATTAGCGGTTTGTTGACTGCAAATTACTCTGAAACATGCTTCTTTTTGAAAGCCGTTTGGTGCTACACTTTTACTGCGCAACCAAGTATAATATAATTGATTTGAAGCATACTAGAAATATTTTACGTTCATTACAAGCAGACTGAGGGAATATCTTGAAGAAGAGGCTTCGATTGAACATAATAGACGCCATAAGGAGTAGTTCAAAGGAAGCAATCAAAACAGTAAACAGGATAGTGTTGTGCTTTACTGAAAAACATGGAGGGAATTAAGCAGAAACTAACTCTGAAACCTGTTTTAGCCAAAACAAAGACAAGAACGACAAAACACACCAGTAATTCTGACCCAAGATAACTTTCAAGTACTTCCTTTTCTTTATTATCAAGGCCTGTGTTTTTATGAATGCTGCATTACTTATACAATGACCTGCCTTATTTCTACTTTTATATTAAGAAGGCTACATTTGTCATTGTCAAATAAATAATATGCATTTCATGCAAGTTGTAACTGGTTGACAACATTTAAAGATCAATTTCCTTTTTTCCATAAATCTCTTTCTTTTCTCTCTTGATAAAAAGACTTGTCCCATCTTGTGGTATTCTTATGTTTTACATGGTAAGACCTCTCGAACATAAAAGAATTCAGACTGTCCGTAAGAACGACGGTGAATGAATTTGCAACGATCGGCTACGCAGTTGAAAGCTTTTTGAACCTGTAAAAGTACCTTTTTTTTCAGAGAAAGGTTTAGGGTTAACAGGACTTCGAAACGCGTGTATCCTTTGCTATTACCATTTTCGGTGGCAGCATTGCTTACATAGCAGACTCAAGTTGGCCAAGGCGTTCAAGACGAGAGGCACTACTCTAAGGTATGGTATGTAGATAACTTATACCACACGAGGTCTATTCAGTATCCTGTTGCTGAGAGCACTAAGAGCAAGCGTCAGTTTCCCTTTTAGACCTCTTAAAAAAGCGGATGGAAAGACAATGCTGTTTCATCTTCTTTTTTGAGCGTCCTTCATGATGACAGTGGTGACAGCGATATCAGGTTAATTTTGCACTTGTTGATATGACAATGTCAGACCTATAGACGTAAAAGATGTATATCCAAAAACATTATATCTCTGTAAGGTAAATGATTCGAATAAGCATTGTAATAGATCTATTAGCCATGGCGTATGTACTGACACAGAAAGGAAGATCAATAGGAAGAATAGGCGAAGAATTACCTGAGATAACCCCAGTTGATTTAAGAGAGAAACGGTAATGAACAGAGACAAACAAGTGTTTGTGAGAAGCCGTTTGTTCCTGTAAATAGGATATAATCCAACATACAATGACAAAGAGGAATCTAATATACTTTTTGAAGTGCTATAAATCAAGGTATAATTAGATTCCTTCTGCTACGTTTATGATTAAAGCTGCAGTATCTGGCTTACCATAAAGATACAGATGATTTTTAGCTTACCATAATTGGTTCCTTTTATTTTCATTCTTCGTCGTAGAGACTATTCATTGAAATAGTTCTTTATGTTTCTTATAAACTACAAGCCTGTACCCTTTGTGCGTTTTTGTAGATAATTTAAATGCCCGCCTCTCCCCCCTATCAAAATTTTGAATACACAAAAGTCAGATTTTTCTATCCCCTTCTTCCTTGTTCTTTTCTTTCTTTCGACATGTTTCTTTTACGTACGAAGGCACCTTTACTTAAAGCAGCCCGTACAAGCATTCAACGGTTGCACCCTGTTGTTCGTCAAACCGCTGTGCAAGGATCAAGTTATGTGACTGGAAAGTTTATCTTGACACATGCTCCCTATACCACTGCCGCCACCACTCAAGACGATAACGAGGTTTGTATGTTTTTTTGTTATTGGATATCAGTGATTTTAATTGTTAATATAAATATAGCATAAGGCAACCAAGAACGAAGAAGTAGTGACTGGCGAGGCACAAGTTCATGAATTCAAGACAGAGACAAAACGATTATTGGATATTGTCGCCAATTCGCTTTATTCAGAGAAAGAAATCTTTGTTCGGTAAGAAAAGTAAAATCAAAGCAATGCTTGTGTCATATGACTTACTTGCTATATGCGTGCATATATAGTGAGCTTATTTCTAATGCAGCCGATGCCCTGGAAAAGTTAAGACAGACACAATCCGTTCAACCTGATATCGACACTGGAAAACCACTGGAGATCCGAATTGAATTGGATAGAGAAAAGAATCAGTTTGTCATCCAGGATTTCGGTATTGGTATGACCTTGGACGAGTTGAATGCAAATTTGGGTACAATTGCCAGTTCTGGTTCAAAGAAGTTTATGGAAAAGATGGAACAGTCTGAAAAGAACACCTCTATTATCGGACAGTTTGGTGTTGGTTTCTATTCTACTGTAAGTAACAAAGGAAGAATATATGGAGCAAAAGATTAATATATATGACTATAGTTCATGGTGGGCAAGAGGATCCGTGTTTACACCAAATCTGCTTTGCCTGGCTCAAAGGGTTACTGTTGGGAAACCGATGGTCAAGGTTCTTATTCAGTTGCCGAAGCAGACAATGTTGCTGTCGGTACAAAGATTGTTATTGATCTTCGCGAAGATTCAAAATATTATTCATCACAGTTGGAAGTGGATTCCATCATCAAGAAATACTCCAAGTAAGTTTTTACTTGCCTTGTTTATGCTCATTCTCTCTCTTAACACACGATTAGCTTTGTTGGATTCCCCATCTATTTGAACGGAAAGGAAGTGAACACAGTTGAGGCCATCTGGACAAAAGACCGTAACAGTGTCACCCCCGAGCAACATAAGCAGTTTTATCGTTTCATCGCCAACGCCTGGGATGATCCTCAGTATACATTGCACTTCAAGACTGATTCTCCACTCTCAATCTCTTCTGTCCTATACATTCCAGAAAAGCACATGGAGCTCTTGGGTGAGCAAGTTGAGCCTGGTGTCTCTCTTTACTCTCGTAAAGTCCTAATCCAGGCCAAGTCTGCCGGCTTGCTTCCCAAGTATCTTCGTTTCCTTAAAGGTGTTGTGGACTCCGAGGATATTCCACTCAACGTATCTCGTGAGTTATTACAAGACAATATCTTATCTCGCTTACGTATGGTCATGACTTCACGCATTCTTAAATGGCTCGATACCGAAGCCAAGAAGGACCCCAAAAAATACGATGAGTTCTTTTTGGATTACGGACAATTCATTAAAGAAGGCGCTTGTACCGACGCCATGCATAAGAGAGAGATTGCGAAACTCCTTCGATTTGAAAGTTCAACTTCAAAGCCTGGAGACACAATGATCAGCTTAGAAGAATACACCAAGCGTGCAAAGGAGGGTCAGAAACGCATCTATTATTTGCTGACGCCTAAACGTAAATACGCAGAAGAAAGCCCATATACAGAGGTGTTTAAAAAGAACGGTGTTGAATTGCTTTACTTGTATGATACCGTCGATGAGTTTGTCGTGAACCATTTGAAGGAATTCCAGGGCTACGATCTCATCTCGGCTGACTCCCCCGAAGCAGCCTCCGATCCACTTTTACAGCAACACAAGGAGGATAAAGATAAGAGCTTGTCTGATGATGATGCAAAGACTCTTGCAAAATGGATTGAACAAACTCTTGGAGATGAGGTTGTCAAGGGTGTCAATGTGTCTCGAAGATTGAATACTTTCCCTGCTATCGGTAAGAATACATATTGTCTCTGGATTGGGTCGATACTCATATTTTATCATAGTACTTGAACATGAAAGCCCCGCCATGAGAAAGATGATGCAAATGATGCAAGGTTCTGCCAAGATGGAAGAACTTCCTCCAACACCTACTTTATTAGAAATTAATCCTGATCATCCTGTCATGAAGGGTATCTTTGGCATGCGTCAAACAAACCCAGAATTGGCTAAATTAGTAACCGAACAGGTTTGTATCAACCATTAGTAATAATGAATGATAATAACAATAATGAATAATCTTAGATCTATGACAATGCCCTATGTGCCGCTGGTGTCCTGGATGACCCAAGATCAATGATTACAAGATTAAACAAGTTATTAGAAATTACAGTCAATACATCTGCCATAGAACAAGACAAGAAAGTAAAAGCATAAAGATTGCATTTTGTATAGAAAAATAAAGTTATTGTCTTCTTTTATTGCTTGGCTTTCATGGAAAGCGATCGAAAACGAAAGAACCTGTAAAAATATCATCCGAAAATCAAAGCCAGAACAACAATTAAAGTTTGGCCAGCCAGGGTTATGCAAACTTGACTTTTTCTTTGTTTTATAATGCTTTCTCGTGTCATTTCTCGTCCCCTTGTCAACGCCGTCAGAGCTAATGCCCGTCCTCGCGTTGTTGCACCTTTAACAAGAACTTTTACTGGTTCTAGCACTGGATTCCAATTGAACAACAACAACAATAACAACGTTCAACGCAATCAACCACAACAATCAAAGCAATTAAAGCAAAAGGCCACTGTCCAAAGTAAGACAAACAAAAAGGCATACACGTAGTTTCATTTTCTGACTGCTTCATTCAGAACGCGCTCCTTTCTGGGAGGCTAATGCTCTTGTCGATGGTGAATTCAAGAAGCTTTCTTCTTCCGAGTATAAGGGAAAGTTCCTTATCATGCTCTTTTATCCCGCTGATTTCACCTTTGTTTGTCCAACCGAAATTTTGGCCTTTAGTGACCGTATTGAAGAATTCCGTAAGCTTGGTGCCGAAGTTGTTGGTATCAGTGTCGAGTAAGTGTAACTACGGTTTATGACACAACAATGATAACTAAAAGTTTTTATTAGCAATGTCCACTCTCACTTGGGTAAGGATAACAAAATGAGGGTAAAATAACTATTAGGAGAACGCGCTAATATACCCAATAGCTTGGACAAATGTACCTAGAAAGCAAGGTGGTTTAGGTTCAGTCAACATCCCTCTTGTTTCTGATATTAACAAGGAAATTGCCAGAGATTACAATGGTAAGCAGTACACATATCCTCAAAAAAAGAGATTTTTAATCCATTGTTATAGTCTTGATTCCTAAGGAAGGAATTGCTCTCCGTGGTTTGTTTGTCATTGACCCCAAGGGTGTCCTTCGTGTTGCTCACATCCATGACTTGCCCATTGGCCGTTCTGTTGACGAAACATTAAGAGTTGTTGAAGCTATCAAGTTCACTGATGAACACGGTGAAGTTTGCCCTGCCAACTGGAAGAAGGGTGAAAAGACAATCAAGCCTGATCCCAAGGGTTCCTTAGAATACTTTAATTCTGCCAACTAAAATAAAACCCATTGTTACGCAAATTTAAAAAGAGGGACCCCCCTTTTTAAAATCAAGTGTATCTTTTTTCTTGACAAGAGAATGCCGTTGCTTGTGGCTCGATTTGCAGTTCGGCCATGTACACACGCGGTAATAAGAACTATTTTCCCCCTTGTTGACCATATAAGCAGAGCACCAGTCCAACAAAGATTATGTTGTGTTCATTAGGCTAAATTTGGTTATCGATCGTTATCTTCAAAAGCATCAATCAGTTCAGTCATTGCAAAACATGTCAACAGGAATCACTTTTTCGACACTTCTTTTTCGTCCTCGTAAGCTAACGTACAATAAGTTTTATAGAAAGACACTAAACAGTGTTCAAGACAAAAACCTGGCACTATTCTATCCATTTTATCTCGTACAGCAGCCTCAGTCAAGTCAAGAGGCCCATCCCTCGTCTCGCTTGCTATCGGCCTTCGTTTTGTCCACGCGAACAAAATATCCATTGCCTACTGTGAAGCACAACCACCAACCTTTGTAAAACCACCTCTCGTTCAAACCAAGACAGTACATGACACCTTATTACAGAAAAAGCAAAACACCCGATCTGTTCTTTATGACGTATGGGAGCTTATCAAGCCTGACCTCGGACTACTCTGTCTGATCATCTTGACTGCCATAGGAGCAGCTATTGTTCAACTTCAGACACCTATGGTAACCGGACAACTGATCAATATCTTGTCTAGTGTGAAAGAACTAGGATCTCTCACGATTCGCGATTTGAATAAGCCTGCGATGAAACTCTTTGGTCTTTTGGTTTCTCAAGGTTTGTGTTCTCTATGATATATAAAGAAGGTTATTTATGGTTGATTTAGGCTTTTTGACATTTGCACATATTGCGCTGGTTTCTGCTTTTGGCGAGAATGTTGCTAAAAGACTTCGTTCCAAGCTCTTTTCTGCCATCATTCAGCAGGATTTGACATTTTTTGATACCCATCGTAGCGGTGAGTTAGTCAGTCGACTCACAGCCGATGTTGCCGAATTCAAGGTAAGAGAGGATACTATATGTAGGAGAAGATGTTACAAAAACTTTGATTAGAGTACATTCAAACAACTGGTCACTCAAGGTTTGAAATCTGTCACTCAAACGATCGGATCAGCCATTCAGCTTTTTAGAATCTCTACTTCTTTAACCTTGACTATGCTCGGAACAATGCCTATTCTTTATATCATGCTTAATCTGTACGGTAGTTATTTGAGAAACTTGAGCAAAAAGAATAAGCAATTGGATGGCTATGCTGGTGGCGTTGCTGGTGAGGTGAGTGTATATATATCTTTTCTTTGCAGAATGTATTTCTAACATCAGCTAGGTTCTTTCCAACATGAGAACGGTAAGAGCCTTTGCCTCTGAGGAACGCGAGATGGAGCATTATGGAAAGTCATGTAATCAAGTAGCCAAGGCCAATCAGTATATGGGACTTCATATTGGTCTCTTCCAAGGACTGACGAATATCTCGATTGGGTGTATGGTCTTGACTGTACTTTACTATGGTGGATCTTTGGTCGTGAAGAATGAATTGACTGGTGGTGATCTTATGTCTTACATGCTCTCAACTCAAACCGCTCAACAATCGCTCGTCTCCCTTGGCGTCTTGTTTGGTCAAACCATCAAGGCTGCTGCTTCTGCTAGTCGCGTCTTTGAATTCATTCATTTGCAGCCTCAGGTGCCATTAAAAGGTGGTTTAATCCCCGACCATGTTCACGGTAACATTCAGTTCAGAGATATCGATTTCAATTACCCATCACGGCCTCAACATAAGGTGCTCAACGGATTTAGCTTGGACATTTTCCAAGGCACAACTGTGGCCTTGTGTGGACCTTCTGGTTCTGGTAAATCAACGATCGCTTCCTTATTAGAGAGATTCTACGAACCTACTGCTGGAAATATTTATTTGGATGGCGAAGAATTAAGCACACTGGACCCTTCATGGTTGAGAGAGCATATTGGTTTCATCAACCAGGAACCTGTCTTGTTTGCCACGTCTATTCTTGAAAATATACGTTACGGAAGACCTGATGCTACTTTAGAAGAAGTGAAGGAAGCTGCCCGTCAGGCAAATGCAGAGTCGTTCATTGAAAGTTTCCCGGATGGATATGAAACAATCGTGGGTGAGCGTGGTGCCGCCTTGTCTGGTGGACAAAAGCAACGCATCGCCATAGCTCGTGCTATTCTTAAAGATCCAAAGGTGAGAAAACGATATATAAATGGATTTAACTCTGACACGTATAACTTTTGATATTAGGTCCTTATTCTGGATGAAGCTACATCTGCATTAGATAGTAAGTAGCAGTGTTTTTTTGTTCAATTTGACTAATGTGTACTTGATGTAGCACAAAGTGAAAGAATGGTCCAGGAAGCACTTGATAAGTTAATGCGTGGAAGGACAGTACTTATTATCGCACACCGTCTTTCGACTATTCGAAAGGCAGACACAATTGTGGTCATGGGCAAAGTACCTGGAAACATTTTAGAGAAAGGCAAGTTGATTATTTGTACAAATGATTTTTTATTTAACTTTTGAGTTATTACAGGAACACACGATGAATTGATGCGTAAACAATCAGTTTATTTTAGACTTCATAATCAATTAGCTAATGCAGATAATGAATAAAAAATATGTTTATATAAATATTGAGGCTTATTAGGGGTATTTATTATTTATACATTATACTAACAAAGTAAAATATGGCTTAGATCTCTTGCTTTTCGTCAATGATGATCAGCTCAGTACTGTTTTCGTGCTGCTCTTTTGCAGATTCTTCTTCAAGGTATTTAGCAATATCCAATTTAGCCTTGTCAACATCGATGAACCAAATGATCACCATGGCAACAACAAATAAGGCGAGTACAAATGGCCAACCTCTCCAGAGGTTTGTTGTGTACTGAGTGATGGCACCAATGATAGCAGGACCGATCCAGGAAGAGGCTTTATTAATGACACCAAAGAGGCCAAAGAACAGGTTTTCTTTGCCTTTAGGGATCAATTCAGCCAACATGGTATTCTGCCATGCCCAAATAGGGGCTGAAAATAGACCCGTCCAAACATAGAATACCCAGAGCTCCCAGCTGGTTCTGATGCCAAAATTAGTAAGACCTATACCAAAGCATCCCCAGACGGCGACGACACCAGAGAGACCGACGATGATCAGTAAGTTGGTCTTGGTGCTGACACCTATTTTTGATAGCCAGAGGAAGAAGAAGCAGCCGATAATGGATGTCACGGCTGATGCGAGGTTGAGAATGGTGACTTGCTGAGCGGAAAAGCTTGTGATTTGACCCTGCGTGATGGCGATCATTTGATTTGTTGTCGAGATAGCATCTGAGAACATAAAGTAAGAGAGAATATATAAAAATAGGTATTTGAGTCTCTTTGCTTCCTTTGCGGCCCTAAAGATTGATTTCCAACCGATGGTAAAGTGATTTGAGTCCTTTGGAAGAGGTGGGCCTTGTCTACCCGTAGGAATGGCAAGGAAGTAAGGAATGGCGTTTAGTACCCAGAAACCGCCGCAGACAACAGTAGATATATAATTGAATATGGGTGCATTACCAAGGTAATGCGGGGTATCTTCTGGGAAATTATAGTTTGACCATGCAATGTAGGATACACCAGACAGGATGCCTTGTGAAAATGGATTAGGTTATTGTGTGTGTCCTACACGATTATTCATGTACCGCACCTGTCATGATCAAGAAACCAATGTTTGAAAAGATGGTAGACACAGCAGACACATGATTTCTCCATTTTTCAGTAATAATTAGTCTCTCATCTCTTGTCAAGTTGGGATCTGCTCGAGCCTTTCGGACCACTGGTAAGTTATCACTATTGTATGAATACAGAATAAAAAACCTGTAGCCAAATCTGTTGAAAATCTTTACCTGAGTGTAGGGAAAGCAGCTGCATAAAATACGAGCGATGTTCCATATGAGATCAGAGCAAGGATCATGATGGCCATCATGGCATTCCAGTTGGATCCATCGTTATAAATAAAGATGATAGGAAGTATTTGAGTAGCACAGCCGATAACGGTGGCAATTAAGAGAATGTACCTATTCCATTTACCGTAATCTGCAAGGCTACCAAATGAAGTAAATAGAACAAATTGGATCACGAAGGCTATTGCTTGAGAATACAAGACCATGGATGCAACGGGAACACTGCCTCCGTTCCAAGAAACATAGCATACTTCGTCTTGGTTATAAATATCACAACCTTGTTTGGCAGGCGAGGTATCTGTGGCAGGATAGAACCCTCCGAGATAAGCGAGAGATTGAAGTATATTTGGCATGTAACTATTAATAGTAAATCCATTATCCTAAAAAATGCAAAAGGCTGTTTAATAGAGTGTGACTATATATAAACTTTATCAACATACTCCGTTATAATAGAGGTAATATCCCCATAGTTCCCATTTGGTAGCAGGAGGCTGAGAGAGTACTTCTTTGCCTTCTTTTGTTGTTGGATCTATTTCTACATCTGTTGAAGTAAAAGGACTAGCAAAGATACCGTTTTCCTTTTTCATTTATTAAAGGTAACAAAAGAAAGAAAAGGAAAGACGAAATAAAAAAGACATGATCTTTTTATAATTGATTCACAATGAAAAGTGCAACGGTTTGTTATTTCTTTTTTTTTTATTCCCACAGCAACCTGTATTTAGAATCGAATGGTTGTGGCACCATTCGTATTCCTATGAAAAAGTCCCTTGGAAACAGACCCTTTTATCTTTATTTACCTTACTTAAACCAATTGAAATCACGTAATACAAGTATATCACCTGGCCTTTGATCTATTTATAAAATAAACACGTCTTTTTTCTTTTAATACATAATCGTTTGTCCTTTTTGCTTATTTTGGATATATTATTACTTTCATTGTTACTTTCTATCACTCTTTCTTCGCACACAAAGAGAATCATCTGTGTTAATTCAATGGCAAAATAAGAGATAGCTAAGGTAATGTCAATCACTCAAAGAGCCATTTGTACTGCATTTAAAGGAGATACATATCAAGAAATATGATATTAAAAATGGGATAAATGGGCTAAATCATGCGTTCTCAAAGCTATCTTCTTCTTTTGTCAAATTCACGATGACAAGACTCGTTCTGCTTCTTAGTAATACAGGCTCCACTGTACGTGTACTTGGCTTTTGTGACACTATGATCTTCTAAAGATCTACAATGCTCTGATCAGTTTCTGTCATCAAACACTATACTGACAGTAATGCGTCGATATGTCCATCGGAAAGGTGAAGTCTATCGCCCCCTTGCTAGATCTGCTTATGTGATTGGCTCTCGGAACTAACAAAGGGAACTCCACAGGGAAGCTCAGGAGACGACTGGATAACATACTGGAGAGGGTGATTCTTGACGCTAGGAGTGGATTACTTAAGGGGATATGCAGCGTCACTATTATGGACAAAGATGGAAATATTGTAATTTCAGTCGTGGTGGTATACGTAACTGTTCGCCAAAAGTCTTCTTTTTTTTTTTCTATTTACTCTTTACATTTCAAGAAAACTCAGATTAAACATGCGTAATAGCAAAGATTCCTTTCTTCTGGTTGGCAAAATCGGAGGGAGCTAAGCAGGAATCACTTGTTATGAAGAATCTATGGTCAGAATTTTGCCTGTAAAGAACCGATCCTTCTGGATGCTTTGAAAAAGATATCGTCAGTAGGGACTTTTTTCTACACCTGGTCAGGAGTCTTTTGACTTCTTTTGCTGCCATCATTGTGTGTCGACCCTAGAATCCATCAAGTCGCGCTTGATGCTCTCGCATTGATGGTAGTGAAAGCAGGTACGTGCATACTGATTCTTTAATGCATGGTCGCGTAAGCGGTAATATACACACACACACACATATATATATATATGTACAGGAATAACATACTTTCTTTGATGGCATAACGTTTGAAGGTTTATTCATCTTCTTTTGTTGGCTCTATTTCTATGGGACAACACAAGGTTTGTAACTGCATAGTAACAAAGATTCCTTTCTTTTGATGGACAAAATTTGTTCTTAACGCTGATCGAAGCGAATGTCATCCATATATATTTACGTATTGATTTCCGCCTCTTACATGGCTTATCCTGGCAGCATTGGCCAGTGTGCTTGATTCTGTGCTTCATTGAATGTATCGTACCTTGTCGGAGCTGTTGACATTTGTGAGCATCGCCGTATGATCGTTTGGAAGAGCTGATCGTAATTGTTTTGTTTGAAAAGGTTTTTGAATAATAATATTGGTGACAATTGGAGGCGTGTGTGGATATAGGGCGCGAAATATAGAAGCGATCACTGCTTCGTAGACCTTTAGCTGTTGAATGGAGTATGCCTGACGATCCATAAAAGTCGCAATATATTTTTCAGTTCTTACGAGATACACTGACGCAACCATTCTGTTGTGTCATCACAACATGATCAATAAACATTCATAGCAATCATTATCCAGTTATGTGTTCTTCCAAATATGGTCTATCATATGCGAGCTTACTCTCAGAAATGCCGTTATAATACTTAATTAAATGCCTGTGCTCTAACTTCCATGTTGACGTTTCCTTGTTCAACAGCCGTTGTTAGATCATGCACCATCTCATTAACAAAGCACCTCAAGCATATATCGAATCAATAGTTTAATAGTAACTACGGTTCTTCCCAGTTATTCCCATAGTAATTGAATGCGTACAAGTACGCTTACAGTATCCAATTATTGTTCATGGATGCTAAAAAAGTATAAATACCATTGCTTTATTCATTGTAAATATAGGTGTTATAGATTCGATCTCATCGACTCGTTGTCCTTTTTCTATTTCCTTTATTACCAGTCTTTACCTCTTGCCTTGGGAGCTTCCATTCGTATAGAGGGGTCTTTCTGCGGCTGATCTAATCCGCTTTGATGCTCTCTCTACTCCTTGGGGGGTAAAGAACAGCCAGGCTGCATTCATTCGTAGTTTCCTGAAATTGAAGCGCTAGTGCCTGGAGGATATATGATTCTGTTTCGCCTGTCTTTGTCGCGTATTTGAGGGCAGTTTGGCTGTCTGAGAAGAATCGGGCTGTCGAGTTTCTGTTGTTTGGTATGTACAGTTTTAATGCAAAGTAGATCGTCATCAGTTCGTTTACATTGGTAGAAATCTCTTTTTTTTCTTCCTTCGCCCAATAGCCCAACATCTCTAGCATTTCCGGCTTCACTTCGAGTTAGTGTCAAGGACTCTGAAGTTGTCATATAAATTGGTATGCTGCTCTTGTTCATTGACCATTCTTCTCACCATTGTAAGCTTTGCAGGCTTTATTGAAAGTGAGCAAGGCCCTTTTCAATTCTTGCTGTCGCTCAATCTCATGCTCTTCGTTAGGCTCCATTGAAGATGACGAACATGAAGTAAAGATTTGCCGATCATTGGGATTACTGATGCCATTTTCCCAATCAGATTTACCACCTAACGGCATGATCCGATAATTGCAGGTTTCATTGCTTGCTGCTTTCGCTAGATAATCTTGTTCATTTTCACCTGTAGTGCCATGATGTTTATCTACTCAATGTTGACATGAATTCCAGTGGCTTTGATGAAATTAGCGTACTCTTTTCCCAGTTTATGAAGAAGCCTAATGATGTAATGACAGAACGGCGTAGTGCTGTGAATGAATGGATGGTGGCGTTGTTAGCGGGTTCGCAATGGCCATTGATGCCTACGTTAGTGAAGACGGGAGAGTTTCTCACCATGGGTGGCATGTGGTGGTCTTGGTAGTTTGCTGATATTGTGCCACATTTTCATCAAGGTTTTTAATATGCTCCAAACTGGCTCCACAAATGCGCCGCTTAAAAGGCTATGAAAGGGGTACATTTACATTAATACTAAGTCTATGAATAAAAAAAATGTGGTTCAGAGAGCAACAATCGCATCTCAAGTCGAAAAGGAGGCAAATAAGGTTGAATCAGCAATGACACTCAATCAACCTTTAATGATTTTCGAGCTCATTGCTGGTTTGCTTGTATTGTTGTGAAGAAAATTAATTCAAATAGAAAAAAAAATAAGTCGGCTGCTTCTCATTTTGGGAAATGTTGTTCTTCATATGGCTCTTCGTTACTTTATTTTTTCTGCTCTTGTTGGTATAGAGCTTATTAAAATTATCGAGATAAACCTGTGTATTTAAAATATATTAAAAAGAATGAGGATTGGTTTATTTAACATTTATCTCACATATCTTGACAGTTGCAAGTGTCTCAACGGCACAAACGACGTTCATCAGTAAAAACAGGTCCTCGACCAGCGAGAGCCGACGAATCGAGACAGGCAAACAAATGCCGTCTTCTATCAACGACATTTTGAACAAAGAGCAGCGAGGGCCTATTGTTTGTGTTTGATAAAATGTCATGTTAGATACAATATAAAATGGTAGTTGTAAATTGGAAATAGAAACTGATGCTTACTCTCATAGAGTACACCAAAGGATATAGGCTCTTGGATGCCTATATTGATCTGATTATCAATTGGATTCTTCATATGTTTCATGACTTTGGTAAAGTCATCCTCTGCTTGGTATTTGAAACCACATATGCTTCCTTCTTTATTCTGAAACCAATCATAATATCAGGCTTGGTTCGACTTCTTTTTTGGCTCTCGTCAGCCCTATCCATAGAAAGGCAGACAATAGTAGTATGTAAATTAGTAATAACGCGTTTATACATTACAAAGAGGGCACCAAATTCTCTTGTTCGTTTTCAAGAAAAATGCTTCTTATGAGCGGCATAAAGTGCTTCTCGACAAAGACTTGTTCTTACTGGCCATTTATCACGAATTTGTCTGTAAGAATAGAAATACAAATTCTTTTTATGTATTTATGCATGTCATCTTTTGATGGAAATTCAATTCCATCAAAGTCTTCTGATTTCATTGCAGACTTTTTTAACAATTTAAATTACGTGTTAGAAAGTGTTAATGTTATATCCTGTATAAAATAGTATATACTTACACGGAGGAGAAAGTGTACATAATACAATGCTTCAGATGAAGCCTTTTGAAAACAACATTACTATACGCAATTTGAACCAACTCTTCGCCACCGTTCTTCATATCCCAAAGCAGCCTTTACAATATGTTAACTGTTGTTAAAAGATATTCCTACCATCCTTTTTTATATTAAGTTACATGTACTGCTGTGTTCAGCTTTATAAAGCACGAAAAAAGTCGACAACAAACAAAATAAAGTTCTTCTTTAAAAGAAGAGATGCATGCTATAACAAGGTTTTAAGGAGAACTTTATAGAAGGGATTATGCATGACCGCTCTTTGTATGCAAAATGTTGTCAATATTATCATCATTTAATGTATGGTAAACAAACAAAAAAGTAGAATGAACAAGGTTTATTATAATGATTCATATCAGGCATGCCATGAAACAAGGAATGTACATAAGTGCTTTAGGAGAAGCCTTTTGCATAACAACATCGCTGTACGCAAGTTGCAGCAACTCTTCGCCACCATTCTTCATATAGGTGGTTGTGCATAGATCCTTACCATACTTGTTGACGGGGAAAACATGAGACAGAGACCTATTATTAACATGTAAATAAAGTCAATATATACTGGAGAAACTTGGTTATTTTACAAGACTCTCATAGTATTAATACTATTTTCCGCCTCAGCGTATTTGATTGATTTGGAACGGAACTTCAACGGTTCCGTTGTTATATTTACATTACTGATGACAAGCTAATAAAATAATGTGTTTTAGTGATCTTTTGCATCTTTTATGATGAATCCACACTTATAAATAGCGAGGGAAGCCATTCTTTTATTCCTTTTCCAAGGAAATAATTCATCCTTTTCGTCCTTTTTACTTTTGCCGAAGAAACAGACGCGTCCGATACAGGAGTCTACAAGTGAAAAAGATTAGCATTCAGAATTCATCAAAGATGTCCAATTGACTATGGGCTCGCTGTTCCTTTCCATCAACCAACGTATATTTGTGGGGACAGAAAACTGTAATCTTCATAGAAAGAAAAGACGACTTTTATTTATTCAAAGTCAGGATTGTTTTTAAAAATGCATGGCGGAGGTTCATGCTACTGATTCAACTTTATTCTTCCAGGGCCCGACAGTGCTTGATTTCTTTTTGAGGAAAAAAAAAAAAAAGAGAGCATGTCATTTCTGCATTGTCAGCTTACTCCAAGATCGCTGGCAAAAACAAGCAGAGCAAATATTTTTTTGGTGCGTTCCTTTGCTTCCAAACCCAAAAAGTTACCCGTTGACTTTGCAGCGATTGAGACGAAATGGAAGTCAAGGTGGCAATCAGTCAAACCTGCTCCTGTCGATCCTTCTAAACCCAACTATTATACACTATCCATGTTTCCCTACCCAAGCGGTATGCTTCATATGGGCCATGTTCGAGTGTATACAATAAGCGACACCATTCAACGATTTCGCAAGATGTTGGGTTACAACGTTTTACACCCCATGGGCTGGGACGCATTTGGTCTGCCTGCTGAAAATGCGGCTATTGAACGAGGAATACATCCTGCTGAATGGACAACAAAGAATATCGCAGCCATGAAGGAGCAAATGTCTAAATTATGCATTGACTTTGACTGGTCAAAGGTAGATATATACAACCTAGTTACACATCAAACAGGGCGTGTTTTGATTATATTTTAGGAAGTGACAACCTGTGATCCCAAGTACTATCGATGGACTCAGTACATATTCTTGGAATTATACAATGCAGGATTAGCCTATCAAAAGGAAGCTGTGGTCAATTGGGATCCTGTAGATCAGACTGTATTAGCAAACGAGCAAGTGGATCCAGAAGGAAAATCATGGCGTTCAGGTGCTTTAGTAGAAAGAAAAAAATTGAAGCAGTGGTTTTTTAAAGTAACTGAATTTGCAGAGGTAAAAGAAAAGAAAGAGAATATATTCATCACACCACAGAAAAAGATAACAGGGTCATAAATAGGATCTTTTGAAAGATATCGACAGACTAGAAAATTGGCCAGAGCGCGTAAAACAGATGCAGCGTAACTGGATTGGAAAGTCAAAGGGTGCAGAGTTTACATTTAATACAGTAAGGATGAACACATTGTTGATGACGTCTATTATTGAACTCTGTATTTTACATATAGACATCATCCAAGACAATGGAGCCTATCAAGGTGTTTACCAGTAGACCAGATACAATCTTTGGTGTACAATACCTGGTGCTTGCACCAGAACATCCTCTTGTGAACAAAGAGTAAAGATGCCAATACAAGCCAATCTGGATCAATAATAACCTTGTTTTATATAATAGAAACTTACCGTCTGAGCACGCAGACGCAGTGCTTGATTTTGTTGAAGGATTAAAGAAAAAGCAAAATATGGATGCTGCTGAAGAAAGTAAACAGGGTGTCTTTACAGGCTTATTCGCAAAAAATCCATTCACCAAAGAAGATATTCCCATTTATGTTGCACCTTATGTCGTATCAGATTATGGTACTGGAGCCGTCATGGGTGTACCAGCTCATGACAAGCGTGATTTTGAGTTTTGTCATGTAAATAAAGTGACTGAAAATATCAAGTTTGTCGTGGAGCCATCTATCAAGCCTGTGGATGAACCTGTGGATAAGAGCACACCATTCACAGCAGAAGGTATCTTGACAGAACTATCTGGTCCTTACAAAGGCATGAAATCCAAAGAAGCTGCCAAGGCCATATTAAGGGATGCACAGAAAATGGGAATTGGTCGTCCTACAACACAAGTAAGCGAAAGAATAAATGAACGATATGCAGGGAAAGATTGACATTGTTCACAGTATCGTCTGCGTGATTGGTTACTATCTAGACAACGCTATTGGGGCGCACCTATTCCAATAATTCACTGCCCTACCTGTAAGGTTGTTCCTGTACCTAAGGAGGATCTTCCGGTAAGTCTGCCTCTAGATGTTGAATTCTCTGGAAAGGGTCATTCGCCCCTTGCGCGTAAAGAGGATTGGGTTAAATGCAAATGTCCAAAGTATGTCCTTAAAAAAGGAGATGTTCTATTATGTTCTAATATACAATGTGAATAGGTGTCATGGACCCGCTAGACGTGAAACGGACACAATGGATACATTTGTAGACTCATCATGGTACTTTATGAGATACACAGATCCACACAACAAGTCTTTGTAAGTTCTATTTTTATACCAAATTCAACTAAATAGTAACTCATCTTTTTTTTTTTTACAAGACCGTTTGATCCCGAGAAGGCATCAGCGCTACTACCTGTAGATATATATATTGGTGGTGTAGAACATGCCATTCTTCATCTTCTCTATTCCCGATTCATTTCGAAAGCATTACTGAAACAAGGAGCCTATCACCAATCCGCAGAAACCAAACCTGGAAATGGTGAGCCCTTTAACATCTTATTGACTCAGGTAAAATAAATTAATGACAATAATTGACGACGCATGCATAGCTCACTCTTTTTCCAGGGAATGGTACATGGTCGTACATTTAAAGACCCCAACACATCGAGGTTCCTTAAACCAGAGGAGGTTGATGCATCAGGTGAGTAAGAATAAGGGAAAGTACACGGCATCCTGATTACTAAACCTTTAAAGATCCCGCCAATCCAAAGATTATTGCCACAGGCGAAACCCCTTTGATCACTTTTGAAAAGATGTCAAAGAGCAAATACAATGGTGTGGATCCAGTGGTAAGTGTTGTAACTGTAGTACATTGTTCGGAATAAATAAGGATATTTCGTAGAATGTGATCACTGAGTGTGGTGTGGATCCTACCCGTCTACATATACTTTATAAAGCACCACCTTCAGAAGTTCTCGAATGGGATGACACGAGCATTGTCGGCATGCAGCGGTGGCTGGCCAAGGTTTTGAAATTGTCACAATCTATTTCCAAAAATACGAATGCTTTACCCCTAATCAAAAATATGACAAAGGATGAAAAGGAGCTGTATAGAATGACACATCAGACGATTATGCAAGTAACAGAAAACATGGCAAGGACTTATTCCTTCAATACCGTCATCTCTGATTTGATCAAACTTTCCAATGCCATTTCATCAAGCACGGCCCCAACAGACTCCCCAGTGTATTATCATGCAGTTCAATCCCTTGTCAAGATGATGGCTCCCATGGCACCTGCCATGAGCGAAGAATGCTGGGAATACGTTGGCACTAATAAAGAGAGCGTGCTTCAGCAAGCTTGGCCATCATTTGAGCCCGCTGCTTTAGAAAAAGATGAAATTACCTGTGTGATTCAGGCAAGTTGTAGTTACGGATTTAATAATCACTTTACTCACAAAGTCAATAGGTCAATGGAAAGACAAGATTTACCATGACAGTCTCTAAAGAATTATCAAACAATTCAAGTGAAATTGAAAAACTCGCTAGACAGACGGAAACGGGTCAAAGATGGCTTGGAGACAAAACGATTAGAAAGACCATTTTAGCAAAAAAGGGAGAGCTTGTTAACTTTGTAATTTAACATGTAATAATAAATATGTTTTATATAGTATAAATTCTTTCCAAAAAGCTATGTTTAGATCTTTTGGCTTGAACGACGGCACTTGAGACACCATCTGTTTTTGGCTTGTAGACGACAGGATATCTCTTTATTAATTGACCGATGATGCCTAAAGAAGTGTATGTCATGTGAGTATCTTTTTTTATAAAGAGAACAACCAAATGATTACCATAAAACCAATAGAGGTGAAGAGGGAATACAGACATTGCAACCATCCAAAGGAATTCTAAACGATGGTATTGCTTAAGGGCAATGATCATGTATGAGTGAAATACGAGACGAAGCACAAAGAAAGTAGAGGCAAACAAGAAATCACATCTCCATTGATCTCTTATGGATCCAATAGCAAGCAGGAGCGTAGGAAGTTCCAACAGACAGCTAGCACTAAAGAATGAAGAAGATCGTGATTTGAGTAACCAAAGAAGGATACCAGTGTATAAAGGATGGTGGATCCAGCCTGTTAATACTGTAATGCGGTGACGATAATAGATAGAACCCAGTGATAGATCTAGCACAAGATAGGATATAAAGAAACACACCATAGAAATATGGAAATTGGAATCAAAGGATAGTAAGTTCATATCCCATCCTGACTGCCAAAAGAAAAAGAAGTGGGGGATGGAGATAAATGTACAGACTAGACTACTTGTAAATGTCAATATCCAACTGATCTGTTTGTCTGTCTTTGTGAGGCCGCTTTTGATACAGTAAAAAAAGACGGATATTAAGGTAGCAAAACTAATTACAAAGGATATTGGTACAATAGGTTGACAGAATACTTGAGCAAGAGTGAGTTTCTGAATCATTTGATTAAAGAGTATAAAGAACAAAAGAAAGATGCGGTATTGCTCTATTTTGGCCATTGCTCGATTTATGTCTGAACAAAAGAAAATAAGGAGAACACTCAGAATATTTACCAGAGACCTTCCGAGATCGTAAAGGGCTTTCATGCATGAAAGGGAGTCTGTCTTTATTTTTTTGGGATAACTTCAGGGGAGTTTTGCTTTTAGGGAATATATTTAAAAAAAAAGAAATCCTTTTTGGCAAGATATAAAAAGGTTGATCTAAAGGAGAGCGTCGTTCTTAACTTTCTTTATAAAAAAAAGGGTGATGTCAAATGCTGTCAAGGTGGCAAGAAGAAGATGTATAAAACAAAGAAAGCAGCAATTGTATGTGTAAACTCAGAAGATTTAATAAAATAAAATGATTTATTTACTTATGCATAAAAAGGATATTTGATCTGCATTGTGTTGGTGTATATCTTGTTTATTTAACCTTGTTTAGAATCTTTGTGATGATATAACTATATTTCTTTGTTCCCCTCCTTTATTTGCCTCTTGACCTTTTTTTTTTTTTTTACTGTGAGTCAAGCTGCCCTATAAGCATGCACTGGGCTTTTGTCCCTTTTTGTAATCTTGATTGTTCAGGAGACTTCATAGGTAACTTCAGTAAACCGTTGGCTTCTTTCATACTTAGCATACGACTACTTAACTGACTACCCGTTGATTTAGCAACCAATCCATTCATGCTTGCCCTTACATGAACTCTATGGAACTCTGGTCTTGTATCCAAATTTATATCATTTTCCAACTATAGATATTAAGTATATCACTATTTACAGAAAGTCAATTCCTTACCTCTACAGAAACAACCACGTTGTCTGGGTTACTCCAGCCTGCCATCTTACGTAAAGCAGGGAGAACAAAAAGATAAAATGTGACTGTAGCAGAAACAGGATTGCCTGGCAGAGCAAAAATTAACTTTGATTTCTTGCCACATGGTACAGTGGCAAATGTGGCAGGTTTCCTACAAAACCATTAACCATCAGCCTCTCCTTATCTGAGCTGTAACTTTCTTTATTTTACCCTGGTTTCATCAACACTCTCCCAAAGTGAATGGTAGCATTCAATTTTTGTTCAAGTATAGGCTTCATCAGATCAGCTTCACCCATTGAAACCCCACCAGTGGTAACGATCACATCTACCTTGGATAAAGCCTCATCTAAGCATTCTTCAATATCTTGTACTTTATCGCTCACGATGCCTAAATCCATTGTTTCGAATCCGGCATTTCGAATGGCAGCCAACAGAGACAATCGGTTGGTATCACGGATTTGCCCTGGTTTTAGCCTATCTGTCGGCATGTGATCCAACACCTCATTTCCAGAGGAAAGAACGCCTACAAGCGGCTTGCGGTAGACTCTGACGTGTCGTATGCCTACAGACGCTAATAGTGCAACCTCACTGGCGCCAATACGTTGCCCCTTGACGCCTACCACTTGGCCGATACCACAATCTGATCCAATCTCTCTAATATTATCGCCTTTTGAAGCATCCACTAAAATCTCGATTTCTAGCTCCTGCTTGCCATCTGCAGATGCTTGGACTAGCTTTGTATCTTCAATCATGACGACAGCATTAGCTCCGTCAGGAACCATTCCCCCCGTTGCAACGCGAGCGATTTTGCCTCGGCTTAGGGTCGTATTTGCCTCTTGTGTCTCGGCTAATGCAATCGATTCTACTGGATATACGCCCGGCCCATCTTCGACTAAAGACGTAGAGTAAATATTGATGATGATGTCATTTTAGCTCAACGTATACCATAAATAGCATATCCATCTACCATGGATGCACGATATCCAGGGACTGGTTCTATCGATTTGACATCTTCCGCAAGAATGTATCCAGATGCTAAAAACTGAGATACTGGCATTAAAACTGCATTAAGTGCAGTAGAATGTCCAAGCACCAATTTTTGGGCTTCTTCTACTGAGATAAGGGGATAAGGAGAGCTACGTGCACGTCGTGAGACTATCAACATATTATTGAATGATCGCGTATATCTTTCTTTTTTTTCTCTTTTACCAGGAGTGTCTAGAGGGACCGATTGGCCTGTCAAGTTCTCTTCACGTTCAGAGTGAACACAGCGATGTCCTTGCATTTGAGCGTGTGTCTGCTTGACTGATTCCTTGTGCTGGTTAGATAGTAAATCTAATGCATGAGGTAATACTTTCAACACAGCGTCCATATTTTCCTTGCAAGCCTTGGGGCTACCAGGTAAGGTGATGATGATTGATTTATTTCTGATGCCTGTCACTGGACGTGATAATGCTGCAAAAGGAGTAATGGACAGAGATGAAGACAATAGTAAATGTGTTATTCCAGGTGTCTCTCGCGTCAACAGTGGCTTTATGGCCTATATTGCATAAAATACATATATAGTTAATGATACGCTGCATATACAATAACCCTATTACTTCTGGTGTTCTATCTCTTTCAGCGAATCCCGTGCCTCCTGTAAGCAATATCAAGTTTAGATTATATTGATCAGTCCATGTTTCGATCGTCTTTTGAATGTCGCGAATCTCGTCAGGTACAATGAGCTGTTTTTCCACTGAATATTTATCTTCTTTTGAAAGAATCTCGATTATAGTAGGCCCACTTTTGTCAAGTGAGGCGTCATTTGAAGCTGTGTCGCTGACTATATGACCATGTTATCATATAATGCCACATTGATACAGTCAATAAGTTACCTGTAAGGACTCCAACAGTGTAGACCATATCTGTAAGAAGAAAGAAAAAGAAATCGGAGATCGAATAGGCAGTTTTTTACCTGTCATATTTTAAGAGACAATAAAGGAGATGGACTCATTTATCAAAATACCTCTTTTTAAAAAGAAAGGGATGTTCTATTGTTCTTCAACTGCGTTTATCTTTTGTTCTTTTACTAAAAATTTGAATGACCTTTTTTTTTTGGCTGTTCATGATACAGTCGTTCTTCCGATATTTCGGTGTAATCAAGTTCAGTCGCTTTCCAAAAATAGAAATAATAGTATCCCAAAAAACTGGAAACACAAAAAATATTTATCTTTCCCTCCTTTATCTTTTTCTTGTAGGATGCCTACTTATAACAATATCCGTATTTTACATGCTACGACTCCTAAAGACTTTGAAAAGTGCCTTGAAGTACGACAAGAAGTATTTATAAATGAACAAAAACACTCTGTTGCCATAGAGAGAGATGGGTACAAATGACAGGTTGGGAAACATACAAGACCTTGATATGAACATATTGAATAGATTAGATGATATCTGTCAGCATTGGGTTGCTGTTTGTGATAAAGTCAATGAGGATGGAACCATTGATGCTGATTATCCTATTGGAAATGTTCGATTAATGCCAAAACCCGATGGAGTTGCCAAGCTGGGCCGTCTCGGTGTTCTTTCCTCTGCTCGAGGTCTTTATGTTGGACAAATGTTGGTGAAGGCTTTTATTGAATATTGTAAAAAAAATGAATATACAACGATTGTACTACATGCACAAAATGATAAGCGTGGATTTTATGAAAGGGCTGGATTTAAAGTAGAAGAAGGTGATGATGAAATCTTTATGGAATCACATACGCCGCATGTTCGTATGTGGATGAGAAACTTGTAGATGAATAACAAATAAATAGACTCTTCTTATTACGGGTTTATATCGGGCGATTCTTTTCTCTAAAGAACTTGCTTGTTCTTCCCATTGCTTTACCAAAGACATCATAATTTTCTACATGTTCTCCTATCCATTTTGGAAGTTTTTTTCGTATCCGATCTGTTGTATATCGCTTATCCAGTAATACAATCGTTGCATAATCTCCCTTATGACGGATTGCTCTACCAATAGACTGATTCACTCCTCTCATACATAGATTTTCATAATACTCCATTCCTCCATCTAGTTTATCCTATATATCCACGTTGTCATTACTCTTTTTTTTCTGTTTAAACTAAGCTTACATTTGCATGGCCCGTATGCTCTTTTGCATACTTCATCTTTTCAATCAATTCAACAGAATTTCGATTGGCAAAAGGTAACCCTATCATGATAACTCCTCTTTAAAGAAGTAAGTAGACAGTATTATATCATTATCTTTCTCTTACCTTCCCAATCTATCTGAGAAATTAATTCCTTCAGACATTTTTCCATTGACAACACATAAAAGCAATGCGCCTTTACTGTCTTCTATTTCAATCTGCAGTGTATAATCTCGCAAGGTAGTTTCGACCTTGTTGCTTTCTTTAGGTTCCCTAAACACTTTTTTATGCTTTTCAATTCGTTCCAAAATACCATTTTCCTTCCATCTCTTGTACATTTGATCTAGATAGGTAAAGCTAGGAAAGAAGCAGATGGTACCGTCTGGTATAACATTGCAGAGATTAGCTACTGTACGTCCAGTTTCGTCAAGCTTGGAGGAAAGAAAGTATTAGTAAGCATCATCAAGAAAACAAAAAACTCTTCATTACCAATGATTCGTCTTGTCTGTTTTCAAATGTGTACATGAGAGGCTTTCCCGTCGGCCCAGTCTCCACTGTCATCGTGAGCAGGTTTGTTGATGGTATGATGTGCCCACAAGAAAAGTGAGTTATCCTTTCTTTTGATATATTCGGAAATAAAAGGGATGAAAAGTCTGAAGTCTGAAAGATACATTATTTGTCAGAAGAGAGGGACATATATATATATTTATATATGAGAAACTTACAGGCTCCATAGTACCACCTGCCAAGATAATACTTTTTGCTTCATCTACAAGTGGTTTGAATGCATCAGCAGGATTAAGCAGCATATATTTTATCGATGCTACTGGGCTCTCTGTCGTTCCAAAGCTAATCACTATACGCCCATCTTTATTTGGGTTAGTAAGCGCCAAGAGGAGCGCTTCGACCTGTGTGAGAGTAGGGATGGATGATGATAATGCTGGTGGCAGAGGAGGAAGAGAAGCTGATGCGCTCGGATCAGTAAGCTGCTGTCTACGTTTTTCCTCTTCCTTTTCTTTTGCTTTATCAATAAACCCGTTCAGTTTTCGTGCTAAATTGCTTGCTTCCAGGTAGTTTTTAATCTTGTACATATTTAAATGATCAATGGACGATTGGTGCAAGAATTCATTCACATGCATCACACGATCCTTTCGTTTGCTTTTATCCTCTACTTGCAAGTGTCGGATAAGCATTTTGAGGATATTCAGTATTTGCTTGATATATACAACATTCTTTCCAAGTAGACGCTCTTTATACTTTTGTATGTACAGGCTAAGTTGGTTCCATGTGAGTTGGATTTGAACTAGAGAAAGCGTTACTGTATAAAGTGAGGTGACGGTTTCTATCAAATTATGCGCTTCATCAATGATAACAATGCTGTTTTTTAAAGAAATGCCTAGTGATTCTCGAGTGTTGGCGTGCAAAAGATGTTGATATGGAAGTACAACCAGCTATATAGCATTATTAACCTGTATTCGTACTTATCCCTGTGTTATTATTACCTGTGATGAAGGTACTGTCTTTCGTGATCCATAGTATGGACAAATAGTAAGCTTTTCACCAATCTTAATCAATTCCTCAATATCTCTAACTCTAGCCTAAGTTTTGATAAGATATATGTATGTTGCAAAAAAAGGGGGGACATACTATTGCATGATCTCTAAATTGATCCCACTTTGGTTTATTATCCCATGACGGTAGAAAAGAGCATGGTCCCTTGGTTGATCCTTCAAAAGATATGAGTGAATGTGATTTAATGCTGTTGTAATGTACCTTTCTTTTGCATATCTAGACATGCTTCATTGATTCTATGTACACTGCCAAGTTTATTTACATCTTTATTTATGCATAAATTCTTTCTGGATCCAAGAGAAATTTCATATAGGTCTTGATTATACACTGTTTTATGTATCTCATGAACAAACTGTGCCAGCTGTGAGTGTGTTCTCGATGCATAATAGATCTATTCGATACGTCAGCACTTCATTGCACATATTCCATGCTATAATGTATACCTTTGTTTCAAATAAATTCTCATCCTCCTCTTCTTCAGCATCATTATAAGATATCTTTGGTTTTCTTTTAGACTCAAATCTATTACTCTTATTAGTCTATGTTTCTAAAATATAAATGACTAATGTTTACTTGTTTAACAACTCTTGCACTTCTTTGGAAAGATGTGAACGGGTCTTGTCATTTGTATCCTCTTCATCATCGCTATTATAGTCTCCCACAAGAAACTCATCATCATCGTCAGTAAGGACGCTTTGTTTTTTGAATTTCTTTTTTCTATCTTTTGATTCAAGTTCAAACATGGCTTGATCTCTCTCGATATTTCGTACTCGCTGTATACGATCTTTTAATTCAGCTCTTCGTCTTTCTCTTTCGCTTGATTTACGTCCTTCTGCTGACTGTGCCTGAAACGCTGTTACCCAGTCTGGTTCGTTGTCTAAGCTTATATATTAGCTTTCTCGAAGTTAAGGAACAGTTGTGTCTTTTTGAACCTGTAGAATTTGTTGACTGCTTTCGTTCGGCTGCTTTGGCTTCATGATCTTGTAGCCATTTAAGTGATCCACAAATCAAACTTAGTGATTTACCCTGAGAAAATAGCTTGGTCAACCTCTCGTGTCTCTCTCTTTTTGTTATTATGATATTACTGTTCCTGTTGGACTTTCGAATATACCAATCTTGTCTTGCGATAAGGTGCGATATAAGGACGTCATAAAGTCCTTTTGTATCGAATATGGTTCAAATGGAAAATCAAACGAATCTGGAATGTTGCTCATTTTTGAAAGCACACAGGAACACGTCGCGAATAAAAAAAAAGTGTTTAAAAAATATATACGTGCACAGTCCGCTTGCTCAAAAAGGGGTAGGGGGAGAACTCAACATATGCTACGAAAAAGTCTAGCCAATCAGAATGAACAGTTTAACTATGGGTGCTTGAAAAATTGACAGCTTTTTTTTTTTTTGCTTCATTCTTTAATCAATATATGAACAATCAACCTACTAGAGAAAAGCTTTATTCACAACCAAAAGGATATGGTTTTAGCCCTGCCTTAGAAAGAACTCGCAAACCTTTTGCTGTTCGTAACATGTTGACGTTAGCCGGTCTTTTGACATTTACTGGCAGTGTTTGTGAGTAATCTCAAACTGTTTGATGAACATGTCCTAATCTATTTTTTTTATTCTTATTAGATGCTTATTCGCTCTTTGCAGTTAAGCAAGACGACTTTAGTGATGTTCCCTTACCAAGTCAACTTCCTGGAGTTCATGACGTTACTAATGAGCAAAAGAAGAACAATTAAAATACTTTGTACATAATAAACCTTATTGTCTTTTTTCAGTACAAGTGCATCCTTTTTTTATTTGCAAAGAGAGAAAATATGATGGATATAAAAACTGTGTCTTTTATTATTATAAAAACAATATTTAAAAGAAGTCGAGTCTCCTGTTGACCCACTTGGTTGTGATAACTATAGTAGATATATGACTCACCAACAACTTTCTTGCTGTATTCATCCTTGTTAAATAGACGTGTGAGATTATTGCATCACAGTCAATCTAGTCTTTTACCTGTTTATTTAACATATCACTTGTCGGATTGTAAATAGTCAATGCTGTCATTATAATAAATAGACTTATCGACTCTCTTTTGTATTTTATTTCAATCCAAAATACGAAAGTGTATAAATGACTGCTAAATATCACAAAGGCTGAAGGTTTAACATGATGTGTTTTTCTTTTTCTTACCTCATATCAATGTTTCTTATTATTTTTATACACAAAACGATTACTATCCTGTCTCTTTTAACCATAAAGTAAGCAAGTGGTCTTTCAATGACTATCTTGATGCTCGTCCCCTCACGTTTCTTGACCATAAACCATTTGAAGTGTTAGAAGAAGAATATGTCCAGCCCTTAAATACGATTATGCGATGTCCACTAATTTCAGCTGCATTAAAATCGCAAGTTGATCGTTATATAGACCAAGCCAAGGTAAATCTGAACTTCTTTTTTGTCGTCAATTAATTTGCACTGTTTCTAAATCGCTCTGCTAGAGCATTCCTTTTTTTTT